ATTGTATTTGGATGCTGCAGGAGGCTCTTTAGCAGTAACTCTGCATTTTTGACTATTTATGTGATAATACAAATAATACTAAGAACTAGCAGACTTATTTCTTACTTCTTACATTAAAATTTTAATTTTAATTATAACTAAGCTTAATTGTGGCTTTTAAAAAAAGTAGAATTTATGGAAATATGAAACCAATGTGGCAATGAAAAGATCTGCTTAATGATGCTTTAACTGCAAAAATATGTAATCTAGTATTTAAATATGTCTGCAGACTTGTCGTCTCACCATATTCACACTAAAGGAAATACAGCTGCAGGAAGGAAACCAGTGGTTGCCACACTGGTTTTATTATACCATAGTTTGATTATTGACATTCATGTCTCTGGTTTTTGTATACAGTTTAACAGTTATTTTTTAAACATAAGTTTGGATATCAGTTTTATATCAAGCTAACTGGCTTGCAAATGATTGTTGTTTTCTCACATTTATTACAACAGGTTCTGTTTGTATAAAGTTTTTTGGTTCAACTATTTCAAAATCCTGCATTCAGTCCTTTATGAACAAACAGATCTTTATGAAGTCATATTTTAAAGGTGTGTTTCAGGTGAGCTGCCTTTTTTGTGATATTAATGATAATATAGACAACAAATGAACGGGGTATTCTGAAATAATTAGTAGGGAACACCTGCTGAAGATACGTATTATAAAAATTATATTTTTATTTAAAAAGTTTAACAAGAGATTATTGTGATGTATATGTATTGTGATGTATACGTATATAATACGTTTCCATTACACTTAATTGCCTGTCAGAGGTTGAAAAAACAAATCTTACATTTTGATGTTAATTTAGTGTAAATGGAAGACAAAGAGCATTAGTGTAGCGGTTGTGGTTTGTGTGTCCTGGTGTCTAGCCCCATCTTGTGTCCTCAGGCTCTGTCTTTGGCATCTGTGATTACTCACAAGTGCCTTCACTTTGTCTAATTGGTGTTTTGTGTATTTAAGCCTGTGTGTTTGTCTTCCCTATGTCCTGGCACTGGTGATGTCCTGGTCTGCTCCTTGTGAACTCCATATTGTCCCATGTAAGTTTTGCTGCCTTGCCAACTTTTTGTTTTTGTAAATAAATTCATTATTTAATGTACTCCTGAGTTCTCTATTACCTGCCTGCACCACTGGGTTTACCTGAAACAGCCCGCTACGGCAATTTTGATATTGACTGTTATTATAATTTATTTTCTAAGCCTGTTTTATTTTAAGCATAGTTTCTTGAGGATAACAATACCTAAAACTGATCGTGCTGTTTGGTCAGTCACCTAAATTTACTCAATTAATTAAAAATAGTGCTATGGCTTCGTCCACCAGTTTCACACAGTTGATCGTGAAAAATCGGTTTACTGTATTGGATTAAAATAGTAAAAATGACGAAGCACAAACTCTGGTCTTGACTAGTTATCACTTTCTTATCCCTTATGCACTGATATTAGCCAAGAGCGTCCATGTTTTCACAAAGTCAGGTGAAACCTGCAGCACACTGGGATGGTCCCTTCAAACATGCACAAATAAACACATAAACAGCTTTAGTTTAACTGGCCAGCAGAACACTTTATCATGGCTGCAGCTGAGATGTATGCCTCGGTAAGCTGCTCATCCAGAACAGTGTAGGAACAGGCCAACAAACGGCAGCTCGTTACACTCACCCAACACTTCTGTGTCTTCTGGCCTTGTAAGATCTTGATCTGGCTCCAGCATGACAGAGGTCGAGTCTACAGGAGGTGAGAACGGGTTTACCATGCTTTGGATGGTCCGTTCTGTCGGCTCAGATTAGATGAGTAGAGGACCTGCGTTGCCAGACAGGACCAACAACAAAAGGCTGGCATATGGATGAAGTTCAATGACTTTAAAAGTTTAGAGCAATAAAAGTTGAGAAGAAGCTTGTAGCAAGAACAAACAGAATATAAGCTTGTTCTCTGACCATTATAACTTTTGACTGCTATTTCTTTAAATTTATTTTGACCATGGTTAATTTGATTAAAAATAATAATGATAATAATGGTTCAAAGTTTCCTAATACCTTTCAGTGAACTGGTTTTAAATGGAAAAAAAAGTTTTTATTTGTTGCAAACATTTCTGTTTGTAATTTCTTATTAGCGACATAGCAATAAATAAATTCTCAGGAGGACCTGACAAAACTCAACATAGCTTTTAAAACACTTGGGAAATGTTAAATCGTGTGTTGATCCTGTGATCTGTAGATAAAAAAGTAATATTAAATTTAAACCAACCAAATAATTAAAACAACTGTATTCAGAATCCAAACACAACTCACACAGACAACTGAAATACTTCAGGCACAGCAATTGACAAAATACTTCAAAATTTGTAAAGTACAGTCATAGTCCACAGACAATATAAGATTTCAAAATGAAGCTCTATCACAACCAGGAAATATTTAAGCAATTTAATTTAAATATGAATTGTATAGATTATTTTTTTGATGTTTAATAAAGTGCAAGGGAGAAAAAACAGCAAAAATGAAATTGTAGACAGTTTAATTAGATGTGTTTTGGCATAAAGTAGGTGGGCCTAAGCCCCCACAGGCCCCCCCATAGCCATGTCACTGTTTTAACTGTATAATTAAAGCAAATGAAAATGGGAATTAAATTGTTAATACTCTAATCAACACACAGTCTTTGGTAGACTATTCTGAACACATATTGCACTTTTAAACTGTATTAAAACGCATACAGAACTATAAAATACAGATTACAGTCAAACCTAAAAATTAGAGGCAGCCGACCAAAGTTTATTGATCTCCCTTAAATGTGTGAACATCACACACCAAACTATAAAGAAACACACTGACGTGGTATGATGGGTACCGATTTATCAGCTCACCTCAGAAAGCATGCACATAGTAGTCAAAGCACACAGGGGTAAGGGACATTTTAATTTCTTCTCCAATTCACTCAGAAAGGTGGGAACACCCTAATATCGTTCATTTTACTTAAACAATTTTTTTTACAGGATTTACAGATATATTGTGTTATTCCGAACATGAAGATTGTGGGATTGAGTCCAGCTCCATCGTAGAGAAACGTGAAATCGTCAATCAATTACAATTTAGATTGGAAAATGAGAAAATATTCATCCATCAGCTGGAACAGAACATGTGCTCTGATCACAAGCAATTATGAACCATTTATTATAAAACTTTCGCTTCAGTTTAGAAACGTTCTTCTCAGTGCTGATGAACAGCATCAGCCAGTGGAAGACGGTGAGCCACAGTTCCAAATACTGAAAAACAAAACGCACTCAAACACTCAGTGCAATAAAAGTCCTGACAAACCAACACATCATTTCAATAAATAAAAAACAAACACTATTACTGAAAATTATAAACTCTGAAAAATAAACGTTCAAAGAACACAAACTTTACAGCCTCAGGAAAAAAGGATATCTCTAAGATAAAAGGCACTAGATAATGCGTGAAAGGATTATTTTTTTTGTCACTGATGGAGGAAGAGTCTCTGTTTTGTCGTCCTTCTCATTGTAACACACACTTGTCCTTGTTGCTGTATTTCCTCCTCCTCATCTCGAGACCTCGCTCCAGCCGCTCGTCCTCCTCCAGGGCCCTGACAACACAAAGTACCATTTAGAGTCCACCCTCTGCGTACAGTAAGTACTATGTTCAGTAGACGTTTGTCTTTAGTCTTCTTCTGGCATGTAGTCACCCTCTCTCTTTGGCGTCAATGTCTCTGATGATCTCGTCTCGTTGGTTGACCAACGACACCAGCTCCTGGAGGAGCAGCTGCTCCCTCTGCTGCTGAATGGGCGACTTCTTCCACTCTGAAAAACACGCAGCCGAACTTCACCAAAATCTGCTGCACGGCTTTTACCACACATGACCGAAAGGGGAAGGCAGGCAACAATGTGTTTGTCGTATCTGTGTGCGTGTTTCTGTATCTGAGCTAAATTTCTCATGAAGCTCTGGGAAATTTTCAAAGAAATGTTCATCTACAACTCGTGAACTTTGGGATTTAACGCAATTCAAGATGGCTGCCACAGCCAACTGAACTTAAAAAAGACAAAAATGTCTATAAAGCCGTCAATTTGTAGGAGTTTCAGTTTTTCTCCTGCAGCTTCAACACACTAGATGGCGCCAACAAGCGCACACACTTGTGGATCATTCACCCAGTGAGCTGCAGGAGTATAAAAGCAGCTGATGACTTCACTTCAATGCTGGTGCATTATCTGTCAATCGGTAGTTGTGCTCCTAGTCACTTTACCTCTATTGTGATTTGCAAAGACTAAACTCTCTTCTCACGTGTTTCAGCACTGACTCCTGAGTTCTTCCTGCACCTTGGACTTCCCTGGTTTAACCCTAAGCCTCTTTGTGACTTATCCAGCTGTTCCTCGCCTTCCACCACTTGCCCACTGATTATTGCAACCTTCCTAAAACTACTGGACTCTCATTCCTGCGATGACCATTTCCTCCAACAGTAAGATATTAAAATATATCTTGAATCATCCTCAAGGACTTGAGCCTCAGTAACCTTTGCCCTTGCTCTCTAGGGTTTCAGTCCCTTCCAGCCATGCTGCATTTCACCTACTGTAAATAAACACTGTTAACTTGTTCTTGGAGTTGCTCTTTTCAGTCACAACCATCTGGGTATACTTCCCTCCCACACTGGATCAGTCACACAAACAAATGAACTAACCAGGCATTGACATGTCCTCCACGTACAACACGAAAGGCTGCCAAGTGTCCCAAAATCTTTTTTAACAGAACCCTTATTTTTCTAGATGAATATGATACATCACCTCTCTTATCCAATGTACATATGCTGGGGGGTGTGGGTCCATCCAATTGCACAAAGCAAGCCTCCTGGCCAAAAAGGAGCCAAAAGCAACCACATACTTCTCGTACTTGCTGAAGGACGTCTCCACAGGGACCACCCTGAACAGTGAGATGAGGTGATGGGTGTACAGTTTTTCCATGCATCCCAGAGAAGGTGTCAAAAAGACTTTGTAGACTGCCAGAAGGTCTGCAGTTTGGGACAGGTCCAGAGAGTGTAGTTGGAGTTTGTTTACAACGATTGCATGCGGGGTCCAGGTCGGCTTTGATCTTGGACAACTTGTCTTTGGACCAATGCAGGTGGTGCACCACCTTGAATTGAATTACAGCATGTCTCAAGCTGATTGAGGATGAATAAATGTTCTTAGTAATCCTTCTTCAGGTTGAGCCTGATAGGGATTCCTCCAGGTCTGTTTCCCATTTCAGTTTAAGAGAGTCCAAGCTGGTCTCACTGTATGAACTGAGCAGTGTATAGATCTTACTAAGGGCCTCTTTGGTATCAGACCTCTCCATGCGTGCGTGGGTTTCTCCAGGTACACCAGTTTCCACCCACAGACCAAAAACATGCATGTTACGCTGATTGGTAACTCTAAATTGTCTCTAGGTGTGAGTGAGAGGGTGAATGGTTGTTTGTCTCATTTGTCTTTATGTGTCCCTGTGATGGACTGGAGACCTGTCATGGGTGTGCCCCACCTCTCGCACAGTGATGGGACCAGTGACCCCCGCAACCCAAAAAGGAAGAAGCGGGTAAAGATAATGGATGGATGGATGGATGGTATCAGACATGTAATTTCAAAATCGTACCACAAAATGTTTAGAGGGGAACAAAGGAAAACAGTGAGAGTTAGATCTCACAAAATGTCTCAGCTGCAAATATCTGAAAAACTGTGACTTGTTGATATTAAACTTCTGTACCAGCTGTTCAAAAGAATTTCCACCTGGTTTATTCCGTCCTCAACCAAGTCACATTCCACTTCCCTGCCGGTGACCATTATTTTCTTGCTAAGTGACTTTTGCCTAATGGAAAGTGTTTTAAGTCTCTCAGAAAGTGTGAGGAACATTTGAGGAGCTGAAGAAACAGCAGCGTTCTTGTATTTTATTGGCGATGTTCCCACATAAATTGGAAATTTCTCAGTGCAAGCAAGTCGTACGGTCATTGTGTTTGGATAATGTCGTTGCCATTACCTCAAACTTTGTTTGCTTAAGGGTTGGCGTTTTGTCAGAATTGTAATGTGTCGTGAAAAATCTGAAAACTTTAAACTTCAGGATTAACAATTTTAAGCAAAATACTGAACTTGTGGATTTTGTGCTTTGATTCAAGCTAAACATCCTCTCTCACACAAATGAGCACAGATCTTATATTATCCACATTTACATAAAACACATACCGTATTTTTGGAGTATAAGACGCATTTAAAGTCCTTTAATTTTCTCAAAAATCAACAGTGAGCCTTATAATCAGGTGTGCCTTATGTATTAATTCTGGTTGTGCTTACTGACCTCAAATTGATTTTATGTGGTTATTATAAATGAGTTGAATAAAGTTTGACTTATCTGACTGTTTTGTTTCGCTTAATGCGCCTTATAATCTGGTGCGCCTTATAGTCCGAAAAATACAGCGTAAAAAAACAAGCAAACATGGCCGCCATAACGCATCACTGACATACTGACCTTCTACAGCCATCATGACTCGTAGTTCTCTGGTGAGAAGCTCAAATCTCCGCTCCAGATCCTGCTCCTGTTGTCTGCAGACGAACGAACCATCGGGAACATTTAAACCAATATGGGACGTTTACTCTGAGGAAACATTTCCAGTTAGCTTACAGCAGTTCAAGGTGGTCCTGTCTGCGTATCAGAGCGTTCTTCTTGTTCACCAACATGAACCACTCTTGGATCAGCCTTTCCTCATCATCACGGTCACTTCCTGAACAAACACAGAAACAAAGACCAGTCAGAAATGTACAAAGTCCTAAAAACAAAACCTCCAGAATCACAAATCGTCTCAGTCAGTTTTGGTTAGATGACTTAATGTGTTTATAAAAGGTTTGAAATGATTCCCAGTGGGATTAAATCTGAAATAAATGTAGAAATCATAATTGTTTAGTGTGTAGATTGTGATGAAGTTTGCAAATGCTACTGAATTTTTAACCTTAATTAGTTTCTACTTGTAAAATGTTCAAAATGATATTTCTGAAATGTAAATGAGTGATGGTTAAATAGTACTTGAAACAGGAGCGCTAATATAAGTATATAAAGACACTCTGCTGCTGTCTTTATTTGCTCGACTCTACCTTTATTGTATTTGTAATTTTTTCTATCCTTGACATGTCTTTTTTTTTGGTCTTTCTTCCAGTGGGGGGCACACCTGCACCTACATCTGGACCTGCCATTCTGTGTTCGTTTGTTTGTCCTTCCTGTCCTCTCAAACCCAGCCAGTCGAAGCAGATGGCTGCTTGTCCTGAGTCTGGGTCTGATGGAAGTTTCTTCCTGTTAAAAATACGTTTTTTCTTTCCACTGTTGTCTTTGTGCTCAGGATGGGAGACTGTGGCAAAGTGAAGATCCAACGCGTCTGCTGGCTTCCTTTCTAGATAGATAACTTATACTATGGTAATTGGCTTTTGTATGTACCGGTATGTGAATGTTTCTGTTCAGTGTCCTGAGATGACTTCTGTTGTGACTTGGTGCTATATAAATAAACTGAATTGAATTTAATTAATATGAAGTATACGCTATTTGTCATGCGAATACCCACTGACCACACAAACTGTTGACACCAATGGACATAAAGCTAACTCAGTTTGAAGTTTGCTGGCAAAACACTTGTTTAAACGTCTTTACTGTTCTGCTTGAAACAAACCGACCTGTTTCCATGAGACTTCGCAGTCGTCTCTCCACCACAGCAGCTCTGCTGTCGATGTGCTTCTGCTCCGTCTCCAACGCCGCCAGCTCACTCAACACGTACTGACTGGTGTCCTGCAGACACTGACCACAATCCCATCATACACACACACATACACACACAAATGTACACACAAACACACGTATACATTTGAACATAAACAATCACAAAAAAAAAAAAGCAAAGGAGAGCATGGGAAGAAAAAGATTAGAGGGACGCCAAAGATTTGGAGCAATTTAGGCAGCAAAATCCTTTACAACTCATTGATTAAAATAAATTTAATAAAAAGCAGATTATTATGATAATCAGTGAGATGAATGCATGAAGTTAAGAAGGAAAAAGAGAAGAACACATAACTGACCATCGTTTCCTCCTCATATTTAGAGGGTTGTGTCTCGGCTACACTCTGCAGATCTGCAAACGTCACAGAAATATTAAGAACAGATCAGAGTGAAAAACTAAACAGAAAACAAGGAGAAATGTCATTTTCTGTTAAAATACAGTGTGGATGCTGAGTGCTGATTGACTGCTGAATTTAATAGGAAGCTAAAACTGAGTTGTTAAAATTAAAAGAAGCAGAAGACTATCTAAAAGCTAAACGTAGAACACTAGCTAAAAAATGAATGAACAAAGCACAAAGCAAAAACTAAAAGGAAAGTGTTAGAGAAAAGAAGCAAATCACTAGCCTAAAGCTAAATGTAGCAAAAGGCTACATAAAAGTAGCTAAATGGAAGGTAGAAGCTAAAAGTTGCAAATGGCTTGATAAAAGCTCAAGCAGCACAAGTGTAGCCGATAGGGAAGCTAGAAGCTTCTATAACAAAAGGCCCACTAAAGCTAAAAGCAGCAAAATGCTAGGTAAAAGCTATATGTATAAAAAGGTCTAGCTAAAAGTATTAAAAGCCAGACTAAAAGCTAAAGGCATTAAAAGCCAGGCTAAAAGCTAAAAGCATTAAAAGCCAGGCTAAAAGCTTAACATATTAAAAGCCAAGCTAAAAGTATTAAAAGTCAGGCTAAAAGCTAAAAGTATTAAAAGTCAAGCTAAATCTAAAAGTATTAAAAGCCAGGCTAAATCTTAAAGTATTAAAAGCCAAGCTAAAAGCTAAAAGTATTAAAAGCCAGGCTAAAAGCTTAAAGTATTAAAAGCCAAGCAAAATCTTAAAGTATTAAAAGCCAAGCTAAATCTTAAAGTATTAAAAGCCAAGCTAAAAGCTAAAAGTATTAAAAGCCAGGCTAAAAGCTAAAAGTATTAAAAGCCAGACTAAAAGCTAAACGTAGCATAAAAAGACAAAAATAGAGCATGTATACAGAAGCAAAATGAAGAAATACTTTTTAATGACTTGAATAAATTTGAATGTATTTCTGTGGGGAAAATATTTTACCAAAGTTAAATATTTTGAAAAACATAAAAGTTACAAAAATTAAAAGTCATGGCACCCATCGCCTGAATGAGCTAAATGCTTTGATTTATGACTGTCTAAAACGACACAATGTATGAAGTTAATTAGTTAGATTACAAAAACTGCAGGAAAAAAACCCCCAGGAAAAATAAACTAGTATGAATACTGAATTGATAATCATACAATAAAACCAGAAGGTAAAACACACCACACACCTGTCAGATTAGTGTTTTCTGTTGCAGACTGAGTCTTTGAATCTTCACTCTGTAGAAAAAAAAGTCATGTTTAAGTAGGTGATCATTTTAGCCAATTATCAATAATCAGTACATAAACTCTTTGTTGTAAGTTCATGAAAAAAGTCACCTGCGCAGGTTTTGCTGCTTTGGTAACTGATCTCGGAGGAGGAACTGGATATATTGACTCATCGGCTGAAAACACATCAGGTGACCCATCAGAGATGAATACATTTCCATTATTCGGCTTAATATAATTTATATAACACTTTTTTAAAGCCGTACAACACATAGCTCAAAGCTTTCGTCCATGTTTCATTTTACAAACTGATTTTATGGAACTTTAATGCAACAGATTTGATAGACAGTGTGTTCTGCGTCATCAACAACAACAACAGTATTACGTTTTCTCACTTTAACTCAATGATACAAAAAGCAGTACTAATATAAATTATTTAAGTAAAATTGCAGTTTTGACTGAACAAAAGTTCCATTTAAATTTATGATAGACAAATGTAAAAACTAGCAGAACTATTGGAGTTTTACCTTTACCAGCTCGTTTACTTCTGGGCGGTGGGACGACCAGCGTGCTGCTCCCTCCCTCCTCCAGGCTCAGGCCTTTGTTCAGCCGGGCCATGCAGAAAGCTGCGGCGTCGACGTCTGCAGGGCCGACGGGGGCCAGGCCGTAACTGGACTGACTGCTGTTGTGCTCGATCTGTAGCACGCTCAGCTCCTGGTTGGTGAAGTGAGAGCGAATCTGGCTGAGGTAGGTCATAACGATGAGCCTGTCGGGTACGGACAGAAGAACCATGTCGGACGGCTCCAAGAGGCGAGAGACGCCCAGTGACTCGAAACCATCAAAGGCCTAAAATTAGGAAAGAGACAAAATTAATAAAACATTTCAGAATCAAACCTAACTGTTGCAGCCAAATGAACAAATGTAAATTATGGCTCACTAGAGATTAGATTTCAGAAGCATCGGGCTTCCAGGCTGATTTAAAGCTGCACAATTTTTTTTTATTCAACTCAACTTTATGTAAATAGCAATATTTCAAACACAAGCACCCAACAGATCAACACAAAGACATAGAATAGCTTAAAATAGTGGTAAAATACAACTCTGCAGTTTCAAAGTACATATCACCAATTAAATCACAATAAAATACAAAGACATAGAATAGCTTAAAATAGTGGTAAAATACAACTCTGCAGTTTCAAAGTACATATCACCAATTAAATCACAATAAAATACAAAGACATAGAATAGCTTAAAATAGTGGTAAAATACAACTCTGCA